GGGGGGCGGGGAGTGGAAGGGGCGGGGCTAGGGCAGGACAGGGGCGGGGCTCCTCCCGTCCTCTTTTTTCCCGTGCTGAAATATGGTAACCCTACTTATGAAGATTCTCAGTGGGATCTGTTATGAGTTTTAAAAGCAGGGCCTCATAAAGCGCTGCCCCTTAGATGACATCATCACACTTCCTCCCTGCCTAGTCTAACCACCGGGGATGCTGTTGGCATGGAAAGAGGACTGTCATGTTTCATGCAAACCACAGAAACAGCTTAGTCTCTTTCTTCCCACCAGTCCAACCTCAAAAGCATAAAGCACACAACCAAATGCCTTCATAGCAAGAATAGGGGTGGGAGGGAAATCACAGGTGTGTGTGTGTGGGGGGGGGGGGGGGGGGGGGGGGGAAAAAGGAGGCCGAAATCGTTCCAGATCGTGCGATTTAAGGATCGTTCTGCAGCTCTGGTTGCATTCTGTAATATTTTGCAAATTCTAAGCCTTCATTTTAAAACCAAATTTAAATGTTTAGCTCTTTCAGTTGCTAAGGTTCAGCCACCATAATGTAAACAGATGGGCTATAGCCCCTTCACAAGAAAAACTGTTCTCCGGCCAAAGAGCAGCAGAAGCAGAGGTCAGTGACAGGATCGAAGGCTGTAGACTGAGCTAATGAAGTCAACATGGACCCATTCCCTTTGTTCATGGCTAGGAGATCAACCACCAAGCACACCTTATAAACACTCCATACTGTACAGTGAGGCCTGAAACCAGACCCACAGGGATCCAAGAAGTCAAAAGAATCCAGAGCTGTGACCTTCTCAATACCCCTCCCCAAAAAGGGAAGGCTAGAGACAGAGCAGTAGCAGAAGAGACCAACAATGCTGGTGCTGCTTGGCAAGATACCAGCCACTGTAAAGACGATTGGCATCCTGCCCTCTAAAGAGGCATTCACATTCCCCATCAATAACGTATCTGAAACCTGCCTGATGCCTCTCACTAGCCAAGAGAAGCAGGGGTCTGGTCTCTGAGATCACAGCCCACAGCTCCACTGGCCCTGGGGGTGTAAACAGGTGGAACTCCACCTGCAAACACAGCTCGCTTGTCCATGGAAGTGGTTTAACCAACTCCTATCAAAGCTGGTCTTATCCAGGAAAGAGATGGGGAATTTGCAGTCAGAAATGCTTGGATCTGTCCCTGAGTGGAAAGAATCCAGATTCAGCAGGGTGTTCACCACGCAGACAAAACAGTCCCACATGCCTAGATTCGGGGGGACCCAATGATGGATGAGAAGAAACCCTTTTACCCTCAGACTACAGCAATATAACTGGCTGGATGTGGGATATGCTTTCCCCAGCCACTTTAATCTCCTCCTGTGTACTAAGGTGTCCCGTCAAGGTGATGCATCTAGGGGCCAGTGTGTCAGCATTCAACAATCACTAGCTCTTCTACAATTAAACATCTTCACAACCATTCCAAACCTCCTCTTGGTGCTGGCAGCAAGGGAGGAAGCATGCAGAGATCAGTCTGCGTATGTCAGGTTACTATCATCCAGATCCTTTATTAATTAACTGACAAGACAGTGGTCCCTGGCATGTGTCCGGAGGCCAAACCTCTGGCTGTAAGTATCCACGTTCCGTTCACTACCCAGGGAAGGATGGCTGAAGGGAGCCAAAAACTCAAAATGAAACTCCAGCTAAACTTCTGAGTTTGGCCTGAGGTTGCAGTGAACCCAGGGTCACCTGGAAAGGTTCCTAACTCTCTTAACAAAGCTGGAGCTCAGTTTCAAGTTCATAATAGAACCAGGAAACAGGTGAGTTCCTTGAGGTTTTGTTGAGAATGTTTTGCATTTTTTCAGGTCTGACAGAGTAAGATGAGATCTAAGGTTCCCAAGAGATATTACCAGGAAATCATTTCAAGGGAAGAATTTACTGGTTTTCTGCCCAGCTTGAACCAAAAATGCCATGGAGTTTTCTTTCATTGCTCATGTTACTTTCTGCTTCATCCCCTCCCTAAACCAGGCACTATCACTTGTGCCCCTCCTTTTGCCGGCTGCCAAGTTATGAAGACACTGTCATAACAGGGGCTGGCATTATACTTGGCAGCACCTCCAAGGCGTGAGCGCACATATCAGACCACTGGAGCCAGGATCCCGGCCACCTGCAATTTCCACCACGTCAAAACTTTCCAGTTCTAAGAGCCCTTTAAACCTGACAACACTCCCTACATACACTCCATATACTACAGAAAGGGGCTCATCTAAGGCTGAGCTGAGCTCTTCGGAGGAACAGTGACTGAAACCCTCCTCCCACTTCATATGCGCTGAGCTCAACAAGACAGAACAGACTGCTACACCCCATTGCTACAGAAACAGCAGCTTAGCTGCTTGTCATATCCCAGATGCACATTGATAGTGGCCCAGGCAGCTCAGACAGCTGAGCTTCCCGAAGCCACAGCCAGAAAGGCTAAGCAAGAGACCCAGTGGGAGAGCTCGAAGGGTCGGACTGAGACATGCAAGACCTGTTCCAATGCACTGGGAGACTCTGGCTTGCATGCTTTCCAAACATCTCTCGTCCAGTACAAGTCCTCTTCGGTGCGGAAAGAATGCAACCCCCAGAAAAGGGCATCAGCCCCCGACACACCAGGCAGGGTTTCCTTGAGGAAGAAGAGACCCTGGGCTCACAGTTCTCCTGTAGCTGAAGGGAACACACCCTCTAGCACAATTTCACAGCAATTCTCCCCCAGCCTCAGGTCAGCACCAAATCTGCAGGCAGGGGATTTGCTGTATCTGCCTGAGCCTGGCTCAGCGAGTTTCATTTATAAACAGGAGATTTATGGCGGAGAGGAAGCTCGAAGGCTAGTTTTGATGCACAGGAATGGAGCTGAGGACTCCTCAGCGAGGGAGCTGCTGTTATCGCAGTAGTCCAACCCAGGGCCTAGATACAGGATGAATGCAAAGTGCAGCAAGAAGAATTCTCCATTCTCACTAGGGGACATTAAGTGAGTTAGGTCCAGTTATCAATAATGGGAGCCAGGTACCTAATCCCTGAACTATGCCCCTTAGACCACAGGACCATCCTGTCTAGTATCCTGCCTCCAATTGTTGCTTCAACCCAGTTCTTCAGAGGCAGGTTGATAAAGCTCCCATAATGCCCCTAGCTGAAGGTGTTATGGTGTATTTTAGGAAGATGTGGTGTCTACTGAAAGGAGATTCCTTCCTGACCTCCACAGGCACAGCATGCTAGTTTAACTCTGGGGGGGGGGACAAGGGAGCACCAGGCAAATATGTTTAAGTGAAAGGAGGAAAACTCCATTTATCAGATCAGTGAAAGCCTCAGTGATTTGAGGTTCCTATGAGAGTATGAAGTGGCAGAGGGCATGGTGCAGGGGGAACCTTAGATACCTATGGGAGGGGACTGCCTGGCCTGCACATAGCGGATGAGAGGAAAGTAAGTGTTTCAGAGGCACAGGAGGTGCAGGCGTGTCCTAGAGAAGGGACGGTAGCAGCATGCCGGCTGCAGGGGACATTCAGTTAAACAGTGCTCAGGGTTTACATTCCCAGCGCCGTGTTTACGTGGAGCGAATCTCTACAGCACATGGGAACGGTACAACAGGCACACCAGAGACAAGGCTGTGAGGCTGGAGGGGACAACAGAGGCTGAAAAGGTTGGGGCACTCGCTCCTCCTGTCCATTATCAGGTGAGGGGAGGGGCCGTTTCCACCTCTCCCAGTCCAAGGGAAGAGAGAGCAGGGCTCTGCTCCTCACAGAGCTGTGGAAACCTCTGCTTCCCAGCACAGACATCTCCTGTCACGTTGGGCTGTCACGGCGCTTTCCTGCAAAACGACCTAGAGTAGATTTCTAAGAAAGCATGGGAGCTTCTGCAGCAACAACCCAGAAGAGGGGCTGGGGCAGAAAAGCCTAAGGATATGTCTACACTGCCATTAAAAACCGTGGCTGGCCCATGCCAGCTGATTTGGGCTCGGGCTGAGGGGCTGTTTAACCGCAGTGCAGATGTTCAGGCTCAGACTGGAGCCCAGGCTCCAGGACCCTGCAAGATGGGCTCTAACTTCAGTTTGCCACACACAGTCATTCTTGATCAGGGGCGGTCAAACTTTTTGGCCTGAGGGCCTCATCGGGTTTCGTAAATTGTATGGAGGGCCGGTTAGGGGAGGGGGTCGTGGCCCAGCCCCCACCTCCTATCTCCCCCCCCGCCCCCCGGACTCCTGCCCCATTCACACACGCCTACTCCCTGTCCCCTGACTGCCCCTGGAACCCCTGCCCCTGACTGCCCCCCGCCACCCCATCCAACCCCCCCTCCTTCCTGACTGCCCCCCCAGGACCCCTGCCCACCCCCCCGAGACTCCTGCCCCCATTCAACCCCCCGTTCTCCCCCAACCCCTATCCACACCCCTGCCCCCTGACCACCACCCCGAACTCCCCTGCCCTCTATCCAAATCCCCCTGCTCCCTGCCCCCTTACTGCGCTGCCTGGAGCACCAGTGGCTGGCGGTGCTACAGCCGCACCGCCTGGCTGGAGCTGGGCCACACTGCCGCCACCGCGCAGCACAGAGCAGCAGGTCAGGCAGGGCTCTGCAGCTGCGCTGCCCCAGGAGCTCACAGCCCCACTGCCCAGATCATTGCGCCGGAGCGAGCGAGCTGAGGCTGTGAGGGTTGGGGGAACAGCAGGGGAGGGACCAGGAGCTAGCCTCCAGGGCCAGGAGCTCGGGGGCCGGGCTGGACGGTCCCGCGGGCCGTAGTTTGCCCACCTCTGTTCTAGATCCTGCCTCCACGGTGGCTGAAGCCACAGGGAGGAGGGAGGGCTTTGTGGTTAAGGTGTAGGCCTGGGACTTGGGAGACCTGGCTTCAATCCCTGGGTCTGCCACAGACTCCCTGTGCAACCTTGGACAAGTCACTTAATCTCTCTCTGCCTCATCTCCCTGACTGTAAAACAGAGATAACATTTCCAGCTTGTCTATATAGGTTGCAAGCTCTTTAAGGCAATGACTGTGTATATACAGCGCCTGACACAGTAGGGCTCTGATCCCAAGTGGGCCTTTAAGGCATCATATAACAGTGATTCTAGCAAAAAGCCGTGTTTAGACATCTGTTGCTAGCAGGGTGCCAGTACAAACTCCTCAAACAGTGAGGACAGGGAGTTCTTGTCTGAGAAACACAATACATTTCTGGGCTATGAATTCCTAGAGCTATTTGCTAGCACCCTTTCAGCCACAGAGCGGACAGGCCCAGCGTCCACCAGCGTTTCAAGCACAATGTTGCACAGACCTACTTTCAGCAAGGTTAGGTGACAGAGTGGTTAAAATGCTGCTGCCACCAGCACTTTGTCTACACTAGTGCTCTCGCCTTTGCTGCCCCTGGTGAGCTGGACTGGTGGTAGCAGCAAGGGCAGGGGGCTGAATTTTAAAGAAAGCAGAGTAGCTCCTTATTATTTGAAGGGAAGCAAAGCAGTTCTGTTCAGGAAATTATGCCACATCCCTCACCACAATCTGAGCACTTCAGAAGGGTTAATCCTTTCTTTTGACAATACAGTAACAACACTCATATAGCACTTTGCATCAGCAGATCTCAGAGCGGAACTCAGTATCATTGTTCCCATTTTACAGAAGGGGAAACTAAGTCTCTTTACCCCTCTATGCCTTTTTTGGTCACCTAGCAGGCCAATGGCAGAACTGGGAACAGAAACCAGATCTCAAGTCCCAGTTCAGTGCTCTGTCCACTGAGTCACATCTGCCTCCCAAAGGAAACAGAGTCAGTCACCATCCAGAGTAAAGACAGACACAAATAGACATTAAAGACCTTATGCAAACTTCCTTCTGTCCGCAAGTCTTCAATTGCACCTCAGTCCTGATCTGAAGCAGCTCATACAAACCCAACCCCTTAAGGCCCCCCCGGAAGTTCCATCAAACACATCTCAATCCTAGCCCCCAACCCCCTGTGCTATTCAGCCCATCCAACACCCTGACCTGCAGCACCTATCGCTATTCCAGCCCAGGGCCTCTCCTCAGCAGATACAGTCACCCAACCCAAGTCAGGTCACTGCAATCCGCTGACACACTAATGGGTGCTGTGTCAACACGTGGTAGCTTTGTGAAGTGGAGGAACATCCCCCAGGGGCTTAGGCTGAGACCAAACTCAAGGCATTTTCATTTGGGACTAAAGCGAGATTTGAACCCAGCTCCCCAAGGATGGAAGGTCAGAGAATTAGCCGCCCAGCCCCAGAAAAGGGCGCTCTTGATTTGAAGGGAGCACCAGCCACACGAAGGAAGCTGATCCTTCCACCAGCTGCAGAAGCCTGGGATGGATACAAGATCCTGTATTTTCACTCTCTCATATTGAGGATTCTTTCCAAACACACTTCCAACTGGCAGTTTTCCCACCAGATCTGGCCTGTGTTTATTCTCTGCCGTTACCCATTCAAGCTCAACTGTGCTTTCAAGAAGAGAATGTGTGTACTGGAAGCACAAGCAATCAAGCGTTAGGAAAGCTGAACCTCACCTCCTATGACTGAAGCGTGAGTTCTCAACGGGGAAGTTGCAGGGGGGCACAGGTTGCAAATACCCTTTCCTATCTTTCTACTGGGAGAGGTGTCCCACCTAGCTGGGAAGGCCTGGTAAAGAAAAGGTTCAGAACCACAGGGCTAGAGCCAACACTGGAGTTGTAGCTCAGGTCTTTGGCTTGGCTTCTCAGATTTGATCTCTCCATGTTTTAACTCTGAATTCTCTGGTCAAACAAACAGCCCCTGGAATCCACCACAAAGTTAGAAAGTTGAAGATCATATAAGAAACTCACAGACTCACTCCCATCTCAGAGTCTGCGGGCTGCTCACCTCTATCGTGGGGTCATATTCATCAACAAAATGGTTCTGAATGAGCTGTATTGTCAAAGCGCTCTTCCCAACGCCACCTGCTCCAACCACCACCAGCTTGTACTCAGTCATCTTCCCGCTGACCCCAGCTCAGGGTCTCCAGCAGCACCAACACCTGCAAGAACAGAGATACAGACACCATCAGCATTAGGTTAGTGCTTCTGTCGTCACCTAGCTTTGCCACTGCTGCACCAGAGCCACGCAGGAGAAAGCAGCGGTGGCTATGCACAGTGACACAGCAAGAGGCACTGGTACAAAGTGGGGACAGCTGCAGTTAGAAGGGAGTGAAACGATAACCTCATTGCATGAGTATCTAGGGTCTCCCATTCCCACAAAACCCAGCCAGCTACTACTGATTTTTATTATTTGTATTCCAGTAGGAACTACGTGCCCCAACAGAAACTGGGGCTGTACAAACAGAGTCAGAGAATCTGAGAATTTGGCAAGACAGCCAAAGCGTGTGAGGGAAACACGGGCACAGGGGAGCGAGGTGCCTGGCCCAAGGTCACACAGCAGGTGAGTGACAGAGCTGGGAACAGAACCTAAATCTCCTGGCTCCTGTCCAGAGCCTTACAAGCCCAGGCTGCCTCCCATTCTAGAGTGTTTTAAAAGGCTTTCCAATGCATGGACACTATACTTAGGCAGGCAGGTGAATGTATGATGCTGTTGTCCAACCCATTCTCCTCTGAAAATGAGTTTCAGGTTATGATGAAGATGATGATGATAGTAGCAGCAACAGCAACAAGACCTTCCTTTGGAAGAAATCTAATCACCAGGGGACCCAGGGCTATGTTCTTCTCTGGTGTAACTTGGCTCAAGTCAATGGAATTACAGCAGGGATGAATTCTACCCACGGACTGCACTGCCCTCTCTTTCCCCACACACATGCAAACCATCCTACCCTCCAAATATTCACTTGTGAGACAATCAAATTAGGAAAGAAAAACCTAAGGACCTATAACCTCTTGTATGCTTTCCTGTGCCACTAAATTCCCTGGAAATATATCCATATGTGACACAGTGAACTGTCACATGGGGAGAAAAAAAAACCCACCCAAGTAGCTGACTCCAATCAACCACTCCTCTCAGAGGCTGCTGGGAATAGGTGGGACATGGGGTTTATAAAAGCTAGACCCAATTGATGGCAGAGAGAGAGTGTAACACCCAAGACAACTGGAGGCTGAAGGAGTACCAAGGGAAAAAAAACAGCTCCAGAGAGGGGCCGGAAAAGAGGCGCACACATTGGGAACAAGGTACAGAGTTTGGGGAGAGTTGGGCACAGGCTCAGAAATGCCTCCCTAGGAAACTCCGAACTTACCTGAGATGTAAGAGAACATATGGGGAAATGGAACTAAAGACTGGGCATAGATGATGATAACCCGAATACAGATACACCCCGTTGCTAAGTACTACTGCAGCCCCTCTGGCCTCCTTTTCTCCCCACAGCATGTCTGTGGTGGTCAGGTCATCCCAGCCTACCTGGCCATGGCTGAGTACCTTTGGGGGCTGTGGGATTTGGGGCTTTGTTGGAGGGCCAGCTCACCCTTGTGACTGTCTGCCAAACTCCCTGGGGCGGGTTAGAATCCACTGGTTCACACTATCTGAATTCATACCTTTTTCCTTCTGTCACACAGCGCTCTGCCTTTGGAGGTCGACTGGCTTTATTCTGCATTTATGATCAGATTGCTATTTGAATGCAAATTCATTCACATTTAAATCTGAATTCATCTTGCTTAAAAATATGTGAACTTTGCCTAAAACTGGAAAGTGGGGGGGAGAAGTCATCTAAAATAGAGAACTTCAGTGGTAAGGTCTATTATCTAGCATCTGTCATCAATAACAGAAGTCACTTCAAATAATCAGAAAAATCAATCTGAATTAAAACCCATTCACAAATTCTATCCTAAACCGAACATTGTGCACTTCTACAGCATGCGCCACCTGATGCTCTCAATGCGACTGCCTACATTCACGGATTGAGCGGTCAGGTAAGGCATCGTTTTACAGATGGGGAAGCTGAGGGATAGAGAGATTAAAGACAAAACTGGCACCTAACTTGCCCAATTTAAAAAGGACCTGATTCTCAGATAGTGCTGAGTACCTGCCCTACGAAAATCAGGACCTTTTAGAGAGGTCTCAAGTTGGGTGCCCAAAATCACTAGTCAAGTTTGAAAATCTTGGCCTAAATGACTTGGTTAAAATCAGAGACTATGTTGTTAATATTAACAGCACAGCTGGGAGTAGAACCCAGGAGTCCTGACTCCCAGCCCCTGCACTAATCACTAGGAAGCACTAACAATTTTTTTTTTTAAGCAAGCTTTTTGGCTATATGCCACCATCTTCAGAATTGGCACTTCACACTTACAGCCTTCTGCAACAGGTTCACACGTCAGAGGGCAAGGCACCAACGTTACCTGCTAGCCCAGGGGTTCTCAAACTGGGGATCGGGACCTCTCGGGGGTCACGTGGTTATTACATGGGGGGTCGCGAGCGGTCAGCCTCCACCCCAAAGCCCGCTTCACCTCCAGCATTTATAATAGTGTTAAATATATAAAAGAGTGTTTTTAATGTATGGGGGGGTCGCACTCAGAGACTTGGTATGTGAAAGGGGTCACCAGTACAAAAGTCTAAGAACCCCTGTGCTAGCCACCTAAGCTAATAAGCCCCTATTGCTATATTGGCTACTTGAAGCCTTGTTTGAGGAGCAACAGCAAGGAAGCAGGGCCCAACCCCACAACCCCCCCCCCATCTCCTCTGTTCTCCGGAGCTGGGGACGATACTTCAAAAAGGCTCATTAATTTTCCCAAGGAATTGAGCGTACATTATGCATTCGTCTCCTCAGCTGCAGCCAGTCTGACTTATTAGCAATGTGAAAGGTGCTGGCAGAAGTCAGTATTGCTGGGAAGTCAGGCTTGAGCAAAAACCTGCACTGCCATTACCAGCAGTGGGCAGGGAAGTGCACCTTTTATTTACACACACACACACACACACACACACACACACACACACACACACACA